CAGGTCCCTCAGCTGCTCCTCACCAGCCATGTTCCCCAGAGCCCTCCCCAGCATCGTTGCTCTTCTCAAGATCTTTCTCTGGACCTATTGAATTAATTTATACTGTGTTTGATCAAGAAAAATACATCACTTTGATGCTATTTCCACACATGTTGTAAATGTGCAGTTTTTTGCACATTTCTAGGGTGGACTGGGCAGCACAACTGGAGATGGCCACAGCACTTGCTGCAGACCCAGGCCAGCTGCAGTCTGCTGCCTGAGATGAGACTCTCACAGAGCCCACACCAGTGCAGGGTTTCACATCACTCACTGCCCCAGGGCACAGTTGTGGCCCCTGGAGGGCTGCCCCAGCCCTGCTGCAGTGGGTGCTGTGGCACCTTCCCTGAGCACCAGCTAAAGCAAGGCCAGCGTGGGCAGGGGGGTGTGTGCCTGACTCAGGCTCCAGCCTCACAACTACCCGCTGCTGGCTGCTGACACGTGTCCCTGCTTCAGGTGTGGAATGCTGGCAAATAGAGCAAGAGGAAAGAGGGATGATGGTGATAAAATAAGGGGCCTACTTCTGAGCCTTTGGCCGAGCTCCTCCTCGGTGCGCTGCGTGCGAGGCAGCAGCACTCTCCAGACACGTAATCAACTTAGCCTGGCCACCAGCAGGCAACAACTCAATAAGTACCAGCGAACAGCACTGTGGGTAACTTGATTTGTAGCTATTAAAATCACTTAGAAATAAGAGAACTATGTAGTGTCCTAAATGACTCTACCCCACCACTATCAGCAGGGATTTCTCGGAGTCGGTGTGAGTGTGGTGCCAGAGCTGCCAGCGGCCAGACCCGGGGGATGAGCTCCTGCAGAGGAAGCAGTCATCTGTCTGAGCACCAGCAGCAGCCACCCTGCAGCTGAGGAGCAGAGAGCTCCCAGCTCTGCACTGCTGGCTGAGAGGCTCACCAGGAGGGTCACTGCTCTGTCACCCAGCAAGGTGCACTGACACAAACTCCGGAGACTGCGGCCACCCCCCCACACACACAGTCAAGCTCTGCCCCAAAGCCTTTCCTTCATTTAAAAACTGATCCCATGAGAATATTTCAGTATCAGTCTTCTCATGTTTTAGCCCACACCCTGTCCCTAAGAAGTGTAGCTGCTCCTCCCCCCACGCCAGGCCCGGGGGCAGAGCCTGACCCGACAGCTCAGCAGGATGGTGCCCTGAGGCTGGGCACATCCCAGAGTGATGCCGTTTGGGCTGTAAGCAAAACTCAAGCAACAGGTTCTAAATCCCTCTGGAAACCTTGCTGCAGGAGATGTGCTCGTGCTACAGTCTGTGTATGGCTGTAGCCATACATTTAAATGTTTCTGAAGAGGAAATTGGGGTGTATCCAGAGCTGTGAGGTTCCAGGTGACCCAGGGCAGCCCAGTAACCTGCAGCTCTTTTACCTGGCCATTTAAGAGCTTGCACAGCCTATTTCACCTTCACACATAAAACCAGTTAAAGCAATACTGTTTACTGAGTGTGAACTGATTATGTCAACAATTTCTCCATAACAAAGATGCTCTTACCTGCCTTCCACAACCAAGGAAAGCAGTGAGAGCAAGGGGAAGTGATTTACCATGACTGCAAACAATGCTCCCAGCCAGGTCTGGAATGCAAACAGAAACACCAAACTGCAGAGTGGGCCAGGCTGCATGGGACACCCAGAGGTCTCCAGCCCAACCTTCTGCTCAGAGCCAGCCCTTCACCCAGATGGGTCTTGAAAACCTCCAAGGATGGAGACTGCAAACCCCTCTAGGTATCCTAGCACTTGAATGTCCTAATGGTGGAGAAGCTTTTCCTTCTCTCACAGTGGAACTTCTGTCATTCCAGTTGGTCTGGTTCTTACCCTACTCCTACCCTCAGGATATTTGTCCAGACCCCTGTGATCAGAGATCAGGTCAGCAGAGACAGTGGCAGGCAGCCAGTGAGGAGAACACAATGAGCCCCACACCTCCAGCCTTGCTTACACCCATCACACTGGACGTGCCCTCTGATACCCCCCAAAATGTAAGCCTCACTCCATGTGCCTAAAAATCAGCTGTCATGTGAAAAAAACCTGCAAGGAACTGATGATTACTGGAAGCATCAAGTGAGAAACTTTCTGCCCTAGCCACCTGCTGACACTTGCAAAGAGATCTTCACAGGGAGGAAATTCAGAAATGGTCTTAAAAAAGAAAAAGACAGAAGGAAATTGAGGATGGTCTTGATGTCCTGTTCTTCTCAAAGGCAGTGGGAACCTGCAGCTGCTGGGCCTTCGAGGGCCAAATCTTGGTGCAAACAGTAGGACACAAATGAGATGTAAATTGTTGGCAACACAGGAGTAGTGCTCTGTCTTCTGTAAAAGTTGCAAAGCTGAATCACAGGAGCAGAAAGAAAGGGATTTATTCCAGTAATGGAAAGCAAAGGGAAGTACAGAATGAAAAAGGGGAAACGTTTTGGTAGCCTGTCAGAGCTAAGGTAAAAAGGCACAGGAATGGGAGCAGCACTTCTGAGTGTTGTAGAAACAGCATTATGAGATTTTCTTATCACCTGGAGGAAACAGGACTGAGCAGATTATCATCTCTGCAAGGAACGGATTTAATTTACCTTGAATGACCAAGTGCTTATCAGAAAGAGACTTGTTTATGCAATCAAACAGTGTCACCAATACAAAGCAGCTATAAAATTCAAGACAAAGCTCCTTTCGCTGTACTGGCTTCAGCATTCTTGAGAAATCAACATCAGAAGACCCCCAAAGCTAATCAGCTGTTCCATGATAATCACTTTCACATGAAAAATGAACGTTTTGGCTGAAAACACCAGCACCCACTTCTGGGGAAGTGACTCCTTTTGGCAAAGAAAATACTACCCTGCTGTAGTTAGCTCCAGCATAGCAGGAGATGGGCTTGGTTGTGGTGGGAATCCACACGACAGAAAATGACTGCCAGGACTGGAAAAAGGAAAGGTTCATATTCTCAGTGTTAGTTTTGCTACAGAGGCAGTTTCTTTGAGACTTCCTTGCCTCCCCAGTGCACTGATGATGACACAGAGATGAATCACAAGCATTAGAACTGTTCAGGGCTCACCAGAATGGTGTGTATGTAAGAGCTTCCTCCAGCACACCACCCAGCAGAGCTCCATGGGGCAGTCCAGGACTCACAGGACAGGCTGCTGGCAGCACGAGCAGCCTGGCACCACCCCTGATTCCTCAGCCCCAGGGAAATCTGACAGTAGAGAGAAACTGGACTTGGGCTACTGCTCCACTAGAATCCCACCAAGGGCTCTAGAGGGCAAGGTAATCAGTAAACAACCATCTAGGGCCTAGAGGCATGTGAATCAAGAGGAATTTGTTCAAACTAATTGGCCTGAGACAGAAGGGGTGTCACTCATCCCACTGCCACAGTTTTCAGCCCTGTTTAGAGCCTCACAGAAGAAAACAGAGATCAAGGAGTGAGAGGGTGCAAGGAGATCATGTTTCAAGAGCTCTTGAGCAGGACAGTGCTCACACTGGCACTGAGCCCCCAGTCCTGCTTCAGGTCACAGCAGAGGGAAGTTTGAGCTGGTGAGCAGAAGATAAAGTGTTCTCTTACCAAAGCTCCCCAAGCTGTTCTCTCTTGTATCCACTCGCATCTCTAGGGCCTTCACCTGCTGCAGGTCATCCACCCCTGTCAGATCTTTCTGCAAAGATAAGCAGAGATACATGTCTACTCTCATGCAAGAAACCACACAGCACAGGAGCAAAAGAGTGTAGAAAGGCTTTGGCTTTCCATCAGTGCTGTGCCAACACATCCCCCAGGTCAGAACAGCCACGTGCAACCACGCTGAAATAAACTCAGTGGGCAGAGATCTTCCCCTTAGCTCTGGATTACTCTAGTCTCATGTCCCTCCTGCAGTGCTGAAGGAGTCAAGGCTGAGGGTTACATCCAAGCTGCAGACCAAGGGCAAGCTTACATGCCAATTAATTTCATTAAACACTATGTCCATGCTTTAAGATTTGCATGTCTTGTACTAACCTCCAGCAGACAGGAAATGTGCCCTCAGTGTCACTTGTGATCAGGAAGGCACTAAGTAGTAAAACACACCAAAACACACTGTTGAGCCTTTTAACCCAAAACTGTGAAAGGGAAATGGGATCTTAGCTCAAGCAGCTCACTCTTCAGAGCAAAGACAACACTAATTAAAAGAATTATAAATTCCTTTGAAAAGAAGCCTCCAGAATCTTTCATTATTCTTGCAAAGTCTTAGTGGCAGGATCAAGTGCTGCACTAAGCAGGGCTGTGTCTGTGAATGCAGCACCTTTCCTAGCATCCTAAAGTCTGTGTGGATACAGGTGAGCAGGACAGAAACAGCAGAAGCAACACACAGAGGAGAGAGGGAAGCTCTCAGCCAGCCAGTGAAAACTCCAGCAAGCCTGGGAAGTCCTAAGATGCCAGGCTGCAATTCCACAAGCAGCTGCACAAGCAGAGGTAAGCTCCCCTTACCTCTGCTCTCATCCCCTGTTCCTTCCTGCCAGGACCCAGCTCCTCTCTCCCCAGCTTCCCTCACCCAGGCTGTGTGTCTCACCACCTCCTCTGCACCAGCTCTGGGTGCTTCAGTGTGCATGAGTCCAGCAAACAGCCCAGGAGGGGACAGCATCCTTTCTTCCTGATGGGTTAGTGGTTCATGGAGGGGCCTGAAATGCTCTTTGAGAGATGAGAAACAAGGCTCGTGTCACAATAACTGCCTGAAAGAGCTGATGCTCTTGGACTCCTAAGAAACAGTATTATCCAAGATCTTCAACTGCTTTTGAATTGTCTTTAAAATATTCTGTTTAAAATTATTTTTAATCTTATTTTTTTAAAAAACCCAGCAATTTTAAGCATGCTGAACCTAAGAAAGCTTCTAGACTGTCCTGCCTCCCCACTGCAGTATGAGCAACAAAGGTCTAAGGTGAAACCTTGCCATCCAGAACTTCACTCTCTATGCCCAGGTTTGCTCCTGCCAAGCAGGCCAGCTTACCAGCCACAGACTGCTTTGGTCCCCCAAGCAAACACAAGATCCCTCAGGGCAAGAAGTGTTTGCAGTGCCCCTCTTCACAGGTGACAGGCCTGTCACAGCACCAGTGGGTGTGAGAAATGGGAGCTTGCTGACCCCCTGGCACACAACCACCCTCCCGGGCTGCTGGGCTTGGACACAAGCTGATCATTGCTAAAGGAAGCAGAGGAAGCATGTTCTGACAAACCCCTGCCCATCAAAACACTCTGAAGAGCTGACATCATCATCATCAGATGGAAGCAGTCCCAGAACAAGTTATGGGCTTAGGACCACACACTTTGTCAGCAGAGTGGCAGAAGCTCGTGGCACCACACGGAGCCTTTGCCCTTCTCCTCTGCTGCCTGCAAGGTCCCTGCACGTCATCTTCCAGCCAGCCTCCACCACAGCTCTGCTCCTTGGTCTCCTCTTTCAAAACCCAAGCACAGAACCTGCACAGAGCTATAGTCTCCTCTCTTCTAGGGCTCCCTATGCCTTTTCTTCATACCAGGGGGATCACCTCTGTGCTGCTTCACCCTCCTTTGCCTCTTCCAGATGCACCCTCTGTACTTCTCCCCTCTCTGAGACACGAGCCCCTCTGCACACCCACGTTCTGTGCTGTGACAGGCAGTGCTGTGGCTCCTGAAGGGCTCTTGGCTGCCAGCAGCAGCTCTCTGAACTGCCCTGCAGCGTGTGCTGCCCAGATGTGACACGGCCCCACGTGTTCCCAGTCCCCACCTCCCCACCCTGCTCTGCCAAGGGGCTCTGTGAAAATCTCTGTCCTCCCATCTGCTGCTGCCAAGGAGATGCCTGCAGAGTCTGGGACCAGTTGGCCGTGGGATGCAGGAGCTCTGGTACCACACGAAGGAAATGAGAACACTGGCTGAGGATATGAGCTCATGAGGCAGCAGCAGCACAGAGACCCCAGGTGCTGACTGTGAGCCGGAGGCCAGGGCAGCAGTTCAAGTGGAGGCCACGTGGTGGATGGTTCCTGTGGAAGACAGTCAGGACCCTCCTACTCCCCAGACACCTCCCTTGGCACAGGGGTGCAGCTGGAAGGGTGACATGTCTCGTGTGTGACAGCTAAAACTCTGGCATGGGGAACGGGGGAGATTTAGGGAAGGAAACATTTAAACAAAGATGACACATATTTAGCAGACTCTGCCTTTTATGCTGCTGTTTAAAGTCAAACCACAGGAATGTTCCTCAGAATTTGAAGGGAGGGGTATTTAGGAATAATTTTGCTGCTGTGGAGTTGTAAAAGAGCAAAATAAACCCAGCCTGGCAAACACCCTGCAGGGCTCATCAGAGGGATGCCTGGCACCACACCTCGGCGTCCCGAGGGCCACGCCAGGGCTAGGACAGGCTCCTGCCCTAATTCCAAGGTGCCCTGCTGTGGCTTTGGGTCCTGTGCCTGCCCGCAGCTCCCAGGGCTGTTCTGAGAGCCAGGGACAGCAGGTCTCACTGCCTGTGCCCCAGGGATGCTGACAGACATGAAGGTGCCACCTCGGGACTTCCTCGGCTGTTCACAGCTCCTCAGCCTCACCCTGCAGCAGCCAAAAAGGATCTATTCTGGGCAAAGAGATGGATTCCCTCAGAGATCTTCTGGGGTTCAGAGAAGGACAATGAATCTGGGGAAGGGTCCAGGGCACAAGTCTAGTGAGGAGCAGTTGAGGGACCTGGGGGTGCTGAGCCTGACAGGAGCCTGGAGCCAGGTGGGGTTTGGGCTCTGTAACCAAGGAACAAGTGATAGGGCAAGAAAAAAATGGCCTCAAGTTGCACCAGGAGAATATTAGGTTGGACATAAGGAAAAATTTCTTCCCCAGAAGGGTTGCCCAGGGCTGTGCCAGGCTGCCCAGGGCAGTGGTGGAGTCCCCACCCCTGGAGGGGATTCCAAGCTGTGGAGATGTGGGGTGAGGGACATGGGTTAGCAGTGGACCTGGTGGAGTTAAGTTAATGGTTGGATGATGATCTTAAGTCTTTTCCAACCTAAATACTTCTATGATTCTATAATTTTACATCAAAATGAACCCTTGAAAAAACTAACTGTAATTCCAGGCTGGTTGGCAGTGCCCAGGGAGGATTCTGCTTGCCACCCAGTGAGGTAGGTGTCAGTCAGATACAGGAGGAGGATGAAGAATCAAACATTAAAACCTTCCTGGCACATGATGTCCAAGCAGGTGGCCTGACAGCTTGGGTCTGGGCCCCAAGTGTGATACTCCACTCTACATTGGTTCAGTGGAAAGGAGTTTACCAGTTTCCCTGGGAAAGCACAGCACAGTTCTCTGAAGACAAATGCATGGTGAGTAAAACAAAACCAGGTAACATTCACTTCATGTTTCTGCACTTCCTTCAAAAGAGGAATAAAACTGTTTTCCATGAGGCCAGGCAGAAGCTATTAGTAAATAATTCAGTCAGTATTTTAAGCTCACAAACCATTCTTTCCCACCATGCAAAATGGCCAGTATCTAATGGAGAGCCTGCACTGCCTTGGAAAGCTTCTCCTCTGACTGACAAGAAGGACCAATAAGTAACCTGTAAAACCTGCAAGTGGCAAACACTTCAGTGCTTGCAGAGCTCCTCCACTGGCAGCAGGGGCTGGGGGAAGCTGGGAAACCCAGCTGAGGTCCCACTTGCAGCTCCCTGTAAACTCCTCCACTGGCAAGTCCCACCTGTCCAGCCCAAGCTGCTGTGTCCAGCTGGTTTCTCCTCTCTTCCCAAGATCTTTCACATACAATAAAAGGAGGAGAGATGCTGCTGAGGAGCACGTTGCGTGCAGCTGTCAGAGAAGCATTTCCAGCTGCTCCTTTATTTTGCTGATCCTGGTTAATTTGGCTAAGACAGGAATTCCTGAGTGGTGAGCTTATTTTCTCTTAACACTACACCTGTATGCAAATACCAGATTCATGTCCATTCATGTGCTGATGGTTTTTTGCAGGGGTTTTATCTCAAATTCTCAACTCACGTTTAGTCTCTCCCTGTACAAAGAAATCAACGTGGCTGCAAGAATGACAAAACATTTCTTCTGCAAAGAAAATTACTCCCATGTTAACAAGGGTTTGGGTGATTCTGCCAAGGGATTTTCAGTGAGGGGGAACAGACTCTGTGCTCCCACAAGCAATCTTCCTTTCAAACTGGCCAGCTGCCCATCATTACAATGTTTAGCTGTTTTTCATCACTCTCTGCACACACACAAACATGCTCTTCCCTCAGCTCAGAGGAGGAGGTTAGTCCAGCATTCTGTCTTCACTAGGGGGGTGGTGAGACCCTGGCCCAGGCTGCCCAGGGAAGCTGTGGATGCTCCACCACTGGAGGTGTTCAAGGTTTGGTTGGATGGGGCTTTGAGCAACCTGCTCCAGTGGTAGGTGTCCCTGCCCAGTTTGGAACTGGATGAGCTTTAAGGTCTCTTCCAACACAAACCATTCCCTGATTCTATGATAGAGATCTTCTTGGCTTGTGTGGCAAGTGTGGATAAGGGCAATAGTGATGAAACCCAAGAGGTGGTGGGTACATCAGTACAGATGTCTTTATTCTGCTGCCCAAGCCTTCAAACCACACTGACAGCTCGTGGAGAGGCCCCAGCCCAGTCCTGCCACCTCCAGTCCAGCTCCCCCTGGCTCGGGCTGGGGATTCAGAGGGCTCACACCTTCTTCTTAAAGCAGTACTAAGGGTCTGAAGCTGCATGTTGCTGGGAGATCTCCTAACTAGGGCAAACCTCAAAGGGCCTGTGGGGCAGCAGGAACTCTATGGGAGGTCTGTGCCAGCCTGTGCCACTCCTGCAGGAGGAAAGGAGCTCACACTTAACTGTGTTAAACTAACACACAGGTCAGGAGTGGACAGGACAGTAGACACTCTAATGTAATATTTTGCTTTAAATCTGTTTGAAGGATTTACTTTCCCTCACATAAATATAAATATAATCCCAATATTAATTCTTCTCCTTCTCCAGCTCTTAGGTGCTCAATAAGTCACCACAATCATTGCTCAGTGTTGTGCCACTGAACAAGTAAAGCTCCATTTGATGTCACCTGAGAGCTGTGACTGCATGTAAATGAAAATCTGGGTTTTTTTTCCATACAAGGGCATGCACATGTGTGTATGCATAGAAAAATAAAGATTCCTGATGTGGCAGTTTGAATGCAAACCATCAGATGCCTACGTAGTGGGATGAACAGTAATTAAGCAATTACATTAGTATTAGGGTAAGAACATGTAAAAGAAAAGCTCTGACACTAAATGAGGCTCTGTGACTTTTCTCCTGCTCACAGTATTGTTTACCACTATCTACTCCCCTGAGCAATCTGATCCAGCTTTGAAACTAGCTGTGCCTTGAGCAGAAGATTGAACTGGAAGATCTCCAGAGGTCTCTGCAAACCTTTATTAAAAAAAATTATGGATTTTTAAATGATTATACAACTCTAATGAAGGATGAAGCAAGTCCAAATTCAGTAAGTTACTTCCATCTCCTTGACTTCACTTAATCTATCAAGATTTTGCACTTGGTTCCTACATCTCCAGCTTTTTTCTCAAATCCATTTAGCTTACAGCTGAGAGGAGAACTTCCTGCCAAGTTAAAAATGAAATGATTTTTCCCATCTGCTGCTGCAGGACCCTCCAGGATTTTCTCCTCCCCAGGAGGATGAGTGCACACCACATGAAACACAGCCCAGCCTCCTGAGCAGAACCAGGCAGCACTTGGGAGCACGTGTCCCTGACTCCAGAGAACACAGCTGAGTGCAGCAGGACAGGGAGAACAGTTCCTTCCCTCTCTGAAGATCACACACAAGTGTGGCTGGTTTGACAACGTGACCATGTCTGGGAAGATCAGCTGACCTTGTGAAATGAGCTTTCTGAGAGATGGAATGCTTCTGGAGGAAATCAGGAGAAGATTCTTTGCAAACAGCAGGGAGGGGATGGGGGGGTTAATAGAATAAATAATTTGATTCAATCTGATAAAATAGAAATCTCATTCATGACAGGTGGAGGCCCTAATTTCAGTTCCTCCACACATACTGAGTAATCTGTCCCACAGCCCTAAGAAAGTTAAAAATTAATTGCAAGGTATTGCTCATTAGTAGTCAGTTCTCAGAGCAAAGGGGGAATGGAGAACTTGCTCACCTTGGGAATTCTCCAAGACCCAACACCACCATGTGGGCACAACACAGCTACAGGCAGAGCAGGGAGCTGGAAATGTGAACAGGACAGGTACAAAGCAAGAACAGCTACTCACAGAGACAAAGATTAAACAACACAACAGAAAACTGGCATGGATACCAGCAGAAAGAATAAAAAGAACATCTAATGACACCAACCCTTTCACCAAAAGCTTTTGACCTGCAGCCTGGATGAGGAGTGCCCAAGCAGGGAAGGGCACAGCAGGACAGAGGGGGTGTGACTAACACCACGGGGGTGGAACCACACAGGACTGGGACCTGGCCCCTGTGGTGAAACCTGGTCACAGGAGACCACAAACCCTGCAGGCAGCCAGCTGAAGACGTAAGGGAGGTGAGAGGGTGGAGAGGAAGAGAACAGGCAAGGGATCAGTGGTTTTCTAAGATGTCTTATGTGCTATGGGGTCCAAGAAGGCAAAAAAAAAAGAAAAAAGAAATTAAAAAAAGAAGCACCAGTTTATAGCCCAACTTTCCTTTCTTTGGAGGAAAACTGTATGAGGTTCAACAAGGCCAAGGGCACAACAGCCCCAGGCAGTGCTGCAGGCTGGGGGAGAGGGGCTGGAAACTGCCCAGCAGAGAAGGCCCTGGGGGGGCTGGGGGGCAGC